TCCATTCTCAACAGCCTTTAGTTTCCCGGATAAGAAAGGATTGATTCTTCTAGGTACTGTGAGGTACAATCATCCCATCGTAACCGTAAAAGATGACTAATTTTTAACTCTGAGAAAAGGTGACGTTGCATGAGTGCAACCACGCCTGTCCGCTTTTACTTTGGTAAAAGCAACAGCAGCCGCGGACACTGGGAAGGTATGATGTGGCCCGACCCTGCGGCCCGAATCGTTTCTGTTTGTTGTGTCACGGTCAATACGCGAAAGCATTTCTCACATAACTTTGGATTTATTTGATTAATAAATGAAAACAAAATCAGTCAAATACTATGTGACTAGGTGCAATCAGTGCACTTTTCAGGTGGTCAGAAATGAATAAAAGATGTATTAAGTGGTTTTTCCAAATGTATTCATTCAACTTCAGAGCATCCATTGAGAAAATTGTTCAAGACAATGTCTTGATTCGTGTATTGTTAGGTCAAAAGAATTTTATACTTCAACTCTTAATTTAATGTAATATTTTCATATTTTGAATGATTTTTCAAACAAGTTAATCCTACAAAATATTACCTATTATATCAGCGTTGGGGGCGGGTTGAAGAAAACGCGTATTCAATAAAAAATTATAATTTAATAAACATGTCTTCTACAATTTAATCGAGAATCAATTAACACACCAAGAAAATGAAATGTTATTAATTTCAATTAATTTACCATAAATAATAAGTTTTTACAAGTAAACTTTAAGTCGACTGGACACTACATTCATAGCCCATCCCCCCAGTAGAAAAACCCTTGGTGCAATGCTGCACCACAGAAATATTCTAATATTAATAATCACTAACTGACGCTTTCCTTCAGTATTTTATATCGTCGCTGTAGCCGGTATAACTCAACGTATTCACAGCCCTATGAAGCGAAAAAAGAGTTTCGAATTGTAAAAATGTTCATTTGGAACCCAAGGACTCCTTGACAAGGTGATTCACGAGTAACATAACGATAAATTCTATTCCGCAACTATCCAAAAGAGTGAACGAACTCCTGCCCGGTTAATTGCCCGCGAAAACGGCAAATACCAGTTTCGTGCCAAGCGAAAGAAGAAGCTCGCGCAGGAACCGCTCATCTTCTCTTCGTCGGCGTGTGTGACCATCTCGAGCAGCATCGGTGCAACGCGCAGCTCGCCCCAATTCCCGCGCACGCAGCCCCGACGCGCACGCAACGGACGCAGCCGCAGGCCGCGTTGCATGTGCACCTCTTCACGGCCACGTTCAAACCCACGTGCTACGTTCTTCTCTCGGGGAGGCTTAGGTGGCTCGGAGCAACAACTGACGGCACTGCAGTGCCTCTGTCTAGGAGGCCTAGGGATCGAGTCCCGACGGTGGCAGGGATTTCATCGCTACTTTAGAAAGCTAGATCGAATCCAATCGAAGTCTGGAGGAGGATTCTAGTGGACGGCAGCTAAGATCGGTGGTTGTGCGTGACTTCTCCGATCAAAGCAAGCGAATGCCGAAGTAGTACACAAACGGGCGATAAACGCGAGCAATTTTTTCCTCCCACTTCCTTGTCCTATCCCCAGCTCTTATATACACACACTTATACCAACATGCAGTACACTACTATACATGTCGAGTGACCAGTCCGGAGCTTACTTTGGTACGGCTGAGGGAGGGGGGAGGTGCCTTGCTGGTAGGAGATATCAGAGGTCGCGCCATTCGCTTCAACACTTCTATGCGATATTTATGTAACATAAACGGAGTTTACGGTAGATATCCACGATCTCGCCGGTACTGTTCTGCCGATTCTTTCTATTCTTCATAAGGGAGAATTAGTAAATACATCGCAAGTAGTAAATATGCCATCTCACTCTGATAATTCAAAACTTAACTAACATAACTCATAAGAGTGTTTTATTTCTATGGTCCTGTTTACCAATGCACGGAAAGTATGTAGTATTAAGTCTGTGTATACATGTCAAACCACTTTTTCGTAAGTAATACGAGTGTTTTGAAAATTGCCGAATTTCCGACTCGTGATCTAGGAGGGGATTTAATTGGAAATTTTCAAAGCACGAGTAGCATTTAATTAGAAATGCGCCGTATTCAAAATGCGCCAAATATTGAAAATAACTGATGTTATAAATGATGTGAATAATGTTAAAAAAACGAGAGGTTATTTTATAGTATATACGAGGTTAACGCAGCGAACGATACATGCCGCCTCCAAGGATATATGAGTCGCAGGTTATTCTTATTCTGTAGGGAGAAGCGGTTAAAAAAATCTGGTAGATAAAGCGTTAAACTTTTTGAGATAAACCGCCCTGATTGGGGCATTTTATATGTACAGTTAAACTCTATTGATTGTAATTTCATTAGGGAATAGTCGAAGTAATTTCAAATCCTAAATAGCTTATAAATTTATACCGAAGAATGTAATTACAGATTTTAAATATTGAATTTTGGTAGGAGTAACGGATATTCATGAAATTGAAAGGTCTACGAATGAATTGCAAACTTAAACTCGGAATTTGGAAAGCGTAAAAGGACTAGTGATTGAGTGATTATAACTTTTTGCTGTAAAACAAAATTTCTTCTCATAAGAAGCTTCCGTATAAATTATCTTTTCGTTTATGGGAATATTATTCGCGTTTGCGTCTTCGTAAAGGCTATACCTCCACATGCTTCGGCGCGATTTAACCCGCTCTGCGAGAACCGCCCTTTCCAATTCCTTGTAACGGCGACGCCACCGAATTGGTTGCGAGCAGGTGGCCTTTGTCGGGGCGAAGCCGCGGAGCGGGCGTTGCGCGGGCGACGCAAACCGAAACGAGGCGCCAAGGGCATTGGGCGTGCGGGACCAGGTGGCGGCGGTAGCGCCCTCATCTGTGTCCCTGCCGCAGCGCCAACCACAGCCCGGCTCCGCTTCTGCCTCCGCCTCACTTCCACGCTAGCTGGGACCCTCCCCCGCCCTCGTTCTCGACTGATTGATTCATGGTTGATAGCACCTCGACTGCTATGATCATTAGTCCCGTTTGTGTAGTGAATGTTTATTCCCGGGAGTTGCAGATTTTCTTTCGCCGCCGGATGGTGAAATCCTGCGCAGTTCTACACATCGGCTCAACCTCATCGGGGCAATCTCTAAGTTCCGCACTGGACTCCCTGCATGTGTGATAGTGTAAGGGGATAAAAATGTGTGTGATTGTAAGGGGACAGAATGGGACAATGCACTAAAAAGAATCATCGCGCGCACTCTTCTATTGCTCCGGCATTCGACGGATGTTGATGGGAGAAATCACGGATAACAACCGATCAGAGCAGCTGGCCGCTAGAATTTTCCTCCCGACAGCGGCTGAATTCGACCTATCTATGTAACGCGTGTCGAAACTTCGCCACCGTCGGGACTGGAAGCCAGGCCCTCCCGGTCAAACTCGCTGCTGAGACAGCGGCTCTACTCAGCTGGCCCATCGTCATCCTGCCGGACGCACTTCCGTCATCACGTTACATCTCCGCCGATACCTCCTGCCTGGCTACACCTCTTTCCTCCCACATCGCTCCGCTCACGCATCATTTCAGACCTCTCAGCCTTTCTTGCGATTCTCCACCATCCCACCCCTACCTAATGCCTAGACTAATCATCACGTGTCCCCACCCACAAGTTCTCCTCGCCCCCACCGACCCTCTCCCCGTAGTATCTTCCGCGCCTACATCCTCGCTCCTACTTCCTTCCGCTCTCAAGTTCTCTCAGGCCTCTCCTCGTCCCCACCCTCATCTCGCCCCGACCTCACCTTCAGCTTACAATACCTACAACAATACACCAGTTATCACACGATCAACCCTGTGCCACATATCCCCTCTACCACCATATCGGATAACCCTCCTCCTAGACAACCTCACCAGCCTTTGCTCGACATCCACCCACCAATTCCTTCGATTCCACCGCCACTCAAGCCTACAAATCCTCCCAATTCTGCACTGTACTGCCGGGTCTCAGGCTTAATGATTGATTGATTGTTAGTGGCGCGTGGTTAGCGCTTCAACGTCTCAGGTCACTAGTTCCGTAAGTGTAGTGCAATATTTCCTCGAGAGGTGTCGGTGATCTTCCCCCGCGGGATGGCGAAACCCGGCGCCGACGTATTGTCTGGTATCGGGGTTTTCCCCAACCAGGTCTCTCCCACGAGTGGGGCACCTTGCCACCCGGGACAAGCTCTAAGCTCCCGACCGGTATCCCGGCATTTGCGGTAGGGTAGTGTGTGATAGTGTAAGAGTGTGTAAGCAAGGGGTGAGGATAGAAGGAGAAAGAGGAGAAAGGAAAGATCGCGCGTCGTCCGTTGTCAGGGTACTGCTCCAGCATTTGCCTTGTGTTGATCGGGGAAACCACGGAAAACTACCGATCAAATCAGCCTACCACTAGATTTTTCCTGCAGATACTGGCTAATGTGACCTAGCTGACAATCCAGTGTCGAAAATCGTGCCACCGTTGGGAAACTAGACCTCCCGGTCTGAGGCACTGCAGTGACATCTGTTGATGTTGATGTTGAACCACCTCTCACGGTATCAGGCTTCTTATCCCAGAGGTCATTTCGAGCGGAATTGCCCCCGCCGCCCGGTCGCCACCCCTCCTGCAACTCGTATATGTATGCGCTTCGGCCGGGCCCGCCCGCGCTCTTGGTCGCCCTCTCGGCATCGCACCCCGCCCTCGGCCTGCCGCGCCCTACGACACGCGCCTCCTGATGTGGGCGCGAGGTCCGCGGGGGGCGTGGCGGGGCAGGCGGGGGAAGGGGCAGCGGGACCAGGGCGCGGGAAAGTGCGCGCGCCGAGCTGGCGGTGGGACGACGCCGACGGCGGCGGCGGCGGCGGCGGCGGCGGAGGCGGCGGCGCCGCAACAGCAACAGCAGTCGCGCAACATCGGCCGCTCGCGCCAAGGCAAGATCACCGAAAGCGGCGACGGCACCCGCACCCGACAGCGCACACCACGCCCTCTCGACCGAGGACGCGGCGGCCACGGGGGCGATGACGGCGCCGGGCCGCGGTGGCGGCGGAGGCGGCAGCCGGCGCGGCGGGCTCGGGGGCGCGCGGCGGCCGGCGGCGGCGCGGCGCGCGCCGAGCTGTGAGGCGCGCGCGGCGCGTGCGGCGCGCTGCAGGGGCGCGCCAAGCAAGCTGGAGGCTGCCCGGCGCGGCGCTGGGCGCTGGCGGCGGCGCGACGGCCGGCGACTGCGACGGAAGTTGCCAGCAAGCGCCAAGGCGGACGCGCAAACCGCGCCGGGGCTTGCTGCCGCGCGCGCGGCCGTCCTCACCGCCACCCTCGCCTCGCCCGTCGCCGCCCGCCCTTCGGCCTGCACACGCACGCCGGCCTCTCGCGCGCCCTCCTGCGCTGGCAGCAGCGCGACGTCTTCTACGAGGAGGTGGGTCGCGCGCCCGCACCGGCGCCTCTCAACGCCGTTCCGGCACCGCAGAAACACCAATGGGAGGAAGGGTCAAAGCCGGTCCTTAGTACAAATTGCAATATAATTAAAATAATTTTACTTTGCCGCTAACGAGTATAAAAAAGGTTATAAAATGCTGTGCGAATTTTCGGCAGAAAAACTCTTATTACATGTCCCTGATAACGAAAATGTCGATAAATCCAGTTGCTAAATGTAGGGGAGAAAATCCTCTATTACGTGATGAAGCCAAAATCCGTGAGATGTGGGTCCTTGATATCGAAAAATCGAATGACGAAAAAATCTGTCTCTACCCGTCTGGGAACAATGCTAATGACTGAACAGTTCAGCCGATTTTTTCCATTATTGACATTCCTCTCTTGATAAGGTTGATGTTGCCGCTCCTTGAATTTGAAACTGATATTTCAATTTTGGAGGGTACTTCACATGAAGCTCCTGGGACATTTTATAAATTTTCAAAACAATGGCTCCATTGTTTTTGATCAACGTTTTTGTTGGATAGTGTAAAAAATGTTTAAGAGAATGTTGTAGTATCGTTTTCGTTAACAACATTTTAGAAAATTTCAAAAATTGCAGTTTTTTCAGCGTCTTCCTACAACTACATTTACGAAGATAGTGATTTTCTCCTTCAATGAAATCTGTTCCTTAAAGATACATTTTTAAATAAGGTCATGTACACTTTTTCCAGAATTTGAGTACTTTTCGCGTAATTCTGCGTGAAATTACGAGCGAGAAAGTACGTGCTGTTTTAGCACCACTAGTTTCAGCAGTAATGTTCCGAATATTAACAATGCTTTTATAACTGTAAGCTTATCTTCTTGTTATTTAGATTAGTGGTTGAGATAATATGTATTTCTGTTTAAAAATGTAATAGTATGACAATATCTCAAAAATGTTTGAAAAAGTTACAAATTAGAAAACGAAATATGATATTTCCTCATCATCTACAATAATTTGGCCTAAACCGCGTCCTGATACCTCAAACCGCTTACAAGATACTCGCTGCGGACAACTTACGTGGTCCATGCTGAGTTTTAAAGAACTATTAAGTGTAAAAATGTGCAAATAATACAAAGATCTTATAATCATTTTGGGCATGTTTGTTTCAAATATTTTCAGTTTGCAGGTATGGCAAAGGTATACAGATATTTTGAACATTTTCTGTACTCGCTGTACTTTCCATAAGGACACAGATGGCTGCGACCATTCTTAAGAACTATTTCAACATTTACTATGCTTCACGTATTGCACAGTATGCAGATAATAATATGATTTTTACGTTATTATGGGAAAGACTGGATGAAAGAAAAGAAGTTTCTTTGAAATTATTACGTATGGCGACGGTTTTTAGTTTTTGTCTAAACAGCCGATAAGCGTCGAAAGACTAAACTATCAGTAACAAAGGTTCTACGGGATGAAACCGTAATTCCTTATCAAAGCGAAGACACGCTGATTTTGGCAAAAAACGACACTGAGGGCCGTTGGCCTCTCCACCATAGGGAGGGCAGTTATAAATGTTCAATCTGTACTTTTAATAACATTTAAAAAATAAAGGCGTGGCTGAAAATAATTCTGCAGACAGAATTTCACTCTGGAGCATAGGGGATAATGGGTGTGAGTCCAGCAAATTTGGTTTCCTCTTATAAACAATTTTCAATTATTCAGGGTTTAAAATTTATTGTATCTTTATTTATAGATATTTATAGTTCGTACAATAGGAAATAAGTAAAGTTATTGGGAATGTCTGCCATCGGCTTTGGGGGTGCCTCAGTATTTACTATTAATTTATCCAGGACTTTCAATTTGTATATGTTAACTTTGAACAAGTTATTACTACTATGTAATTTTGATAACGGGAAAGAATGTGAGATGACCATAGCATCTAGAAGGCTTTGAAATATTTATTTTGTTGCATCAACTAGCAAACTCGGGAGAAAAAATAGTACCTACAATTTACGCATGTTTTACGTTTTATGATTAACGTAAGCAAATATAACATGCAATCCATGAGATCATGATTAACTGTTTAGTGATTCCGCGCACATCGACTACCAGGGTCATTAGTCCCGTAAGTGTAAATGCACGTTTTTGCTCGGGAGGTGACGGTGAGCTTTACTCGTATGGCGAGATCCGGCGCCGACCTTCCGTCGGTTACCGGGGTTTTCCCTAACCAGGTATCTCGCACCAGCGTGGCACCGCATCTGCCGGGACAAGCACTTAGCTCCTGACGGGTCTCCCGACGTATGTGGTAGTGTAGTGAGTGTTAGTGTAGGGGTGTGTGTGTGTGTGTGTGTGTGCGTGTGTGTGCGTGCGTGTGTGCGTGCGTGTGTGCGCACAAGGGGCGAGAATAAGGACAAGGAAGAGGAAGGTGAGATCGTGCGCGGTCCGTGGCTCGTTTGTTAGGGTACTGCTCCGGCACTCGCCTGGTGTTGATCGGAGAAACCAATAAAACTGCCGATTGGAGTAGCCGGCCGCTAGAATTCTCCTCCAGGCAGCGACTGAATTCGACCTAGTTAACAAGCTAGTGTCAAAAACCCTGCCACCCTCGGGACTCCCCGGTCAGTAATAGGTAACCTAGGGCTTCCCGGTCAGAGGGACTGCAGTGACATCAGTCGATGCCTGGAGCCATCCCTCCTCGTTTGTTGAATGGTATTAATAAATTAAACCAATAACATAATAATTAAATAATCCCATCTACGTATCTCCCCCTTATTACGAAAAGGGTGAATTTCTAACAATTTTCAAAATATTTGACGAGAAAGGGAAACACAACACTTTATTACTCACACCCATTTCTAATTTATTTGACTCTTCTGAATTTCTCTTTTTTCATTGAAAAATACCTCGTCTCAAAGTGGATGACAATTGCCAAAATAAAGTATAAATTATAAATTGGATAAATTAAACGCATACAACTAAATATGAAGGAAGTAAAATCACATACATGTCAGAGGCTTGTACTTGTAATCAAATATTTTGTTCTAGAAATATAAACTTATCTAGTGTGTTATTTAACAAAAATGAAAGTAATTTATTATCCAATTTCCTTAAATTCGCTCAAATTTCAGTCTTTATATAAATATTTAACCAAATTATCAGTGAGGACTAAAGTCTTTGCGTTGTTAATAACATTGAAATAAGACCGTTTATGTGAGGTCTAAGACCTTCCTGATCGTTAAGACAACACTGTTTAAAATGGAAGAAAACTGGTTCACATTTTCACAATCACGTTACCTGCCAGAATTTTGCAATTTAAATTGAACGCAATAAATACAAGAATGGAAACTTGATGTGAGAGAAACAGTAGCTAATATCTCACTCACTTCAATGTACCATATACGGAACGTTGTTGACGTCAAACAGGTTAGCCTTCAACGGTCCACCTATTGTATGAATTAGTGTGGAATGCATCACCCGTTAGCTGACGGTCTTGCGTTACTTTCAAGTATGAAAATACTTTGCACTTCTGCGTGATATGATTTTTGTAACAATTGCCTATATTTTTGTGAATGAAAATTACATTCTCGTTTAGTCCGATTCTTTATGGTACAAATTGTTTTTTGCAAAATGTATTGCATAATTTCTAATTGTAGTTTATTCGCCTTTAACAACTATAGCAGTGCGCGGCCCTTAATTAGTACGACAAAAATTATAAAGACCCTCTTTGTTTTTTGAGGAAATTTGTTGCAATCGATTTCACGTCGAAAGTGTTAGAGAAAATTATACTTTTTGCGGCAGGAACGAAATTAAAATGCTTTATCTGCACCGCGCCAGGTGTTGCAGCCTCTGTGGTTTGAGAAATAATCACGACCCGTTAGCCCCAATATCAGGGGCAGGAAGTGAACCAGCGTCCCTTGAAGCAAGAAGACTTGCCGTCTTTGTAAACGCTGAACCGATGCCGCCGTCGCCCCTCTCAACCATTAATGCAGCGCAGAAGCAGTGCGTGTGCTCGTGCAGCGTACAGTATTTGATTTGCGTTCCCTGAACTAGCAAATAAGTCGAATTTTCTCCAAAAAGTAACATTCTCGACGGGATAAAATTGCACCAAACATTTACGAATAATGATAATTTTTTTTAATTTTGTCGGAATAATAAAGGGACACTCTGTATACAGTTAAGTAATACAATACAGTTAAGTAATATGTTTATATTAACGATACAATAAAAATGGAGAAAAATGTATTTCTTCTCCACCATCTGAAGAAGTGGTCTCAGGACACAATTGCTTGTGCTACTGCTGTCTGGGTAAGAACCACGCTTAGGTGTAAAGACGGCTCCACACATTCGGTATTCGGACAGTAGTGAGAGGCCGCTCGCAGAATCCCAAGAAATGTGGATAGGTTGCCCGCTATTTGCCGAGCGACGAACATTCGGCGCTCGCCCTACTCGCCTGTATTTTGGTCACATTAAAGGAAGCGAACATTCGCCTAGCACATAGGTGACCGGGATTGGGAGAGCAGTATTTCGCTACTCGGCGAAAGCCGAATGTGTAGAACCCCCTTAATTTGTATTTGTCACAGCAAGTTCTCAGCACGTTTTCTCGATATTCTTTCGTTTTCCGGCGAATTAATATTCATTCCATTATTCGCCTCACCATCATTTCTGTGACCCATATTGAAGAGTCCGTATACCCATTATTAACAAGTAAACAATAACAAAAATAATCATCGGGAGGAGGATCGAACCGGTTTGTCGCTGATCTTTTCCAAGGCACGTCAAACTGCGCTCGCACGAGCTACGTGTACTTGCCCGCCTGGGAAGCCAAGCGCTCCTGCGAGCACAGACAAATTCCCCTGATTCCTCTCTCACTTTCCCTCCAATTCCAGAAAAAAGTGTACACGCGCAAGCTGAAAAAGGCAATAGCGTCTTCACGCAAACATGTGAGCCAGATTTGCTCCATCAAACAACCGAGATTTCTTTTATGTTTATATTATTGATTACGTACTATTTCATGTTTACTT